TCATCAGGATCGATGAAGAATTAAAAAACAGAAACTTGTTGAAATACATTGTGTTGAGAATTCTATCTTGTACCAAAAATGTAATATTAAATAAGCCACTAATAAAAAGAAAATCGTATTAGAACAGTAAGGCAAGATGAAAACTGATCTATATATTCAAACATTATGACTTAATCGTATTATAGTAACTATGAGAATGATCTGTGAATGTTGAATTTTTGTGTTGATATATCAATAAAGTCAGTAATTAGAATTCCGAAAACATCTACTATCTAAGACTTTATGATTTTCACCTATCTTGTAGATGATATTTGAGTTCCTGGATTTTTTTTGTTGAAAAAACATCTACTTTATAAAATTGAATAGATCAAACAGTAAAAAAAACTTATTATGAAGCACTTTATTCCATTCATATAAGAAGATATAGAATACAAGCCACTATCGATCTTTGCTTATAAAGCTTATGACTTAAGGCTATATCGAGGTAATCCACACAAGATGCACATATGCCAACAAGAGACTGATGAATTACAATCCTAAATAACAATGGAAAGATACAAGTAAAACAACACCAAGTGAATTTAAAACTTCACCCCATTACACAAGCAAGTGGTTATTAGAACTCAGTAACTAAGTGGGTAACACGATGGCATTTGAAAAAACAGTATTGGGTTCGAGTCTCAAAGTGAACACCAACTCTGAGATGCAGGTACATCCATCTGACGTGTCCCAAATAGGACGAAACACGCATCAAAATAGATTCCACTGCTAATCACTATCCATCTTTGCTAATAAATCTTGTAACCTAAGGCAATATCGAGTTAATCCACACAATCAATTACAATCCTAAATAACAATGAGAAGATACAAGTAAAACAACACTAAGTGAATTTATACAATTTGTTCTTTTAAGAATTTATTTATACAATGAATAATATGCCCATAATGTTTTACATAACTTCAAATGAAAATTATAATATCAGTAATATAAATATGAAGTTTATCCAGTCAGTCAGTCAGTAACAACGTGGAATTTCGTACGTACGTACATCAGTCCGAGTTGCCATACCACATTAGCACAAACACTGTGAACTTAATAATAATAATAGTAATAATAATGATAGTGATGATAGTAGTAATAATAGTAATGGTAATAATAATAGTAATAATAGTAGTAATATTAGTAATAATAATAGTATTAATATAATTTATTCTCAACAAACACTTGAACTCAGATATAATATTCTCTTATCATATTTTGTTTAAATTTCCGTGGTAACATTCTATTTAAGTGGATTATGTTTTTTCTTTTTAAGAAGAAGAAACAGGAAAATAAAAGAACACACTTTATATTCAAGTACATCTAAGTGAAGGTATCTTTAAACTACACTTACTTGAAAATAAAAAAAAACAAAAAAAAAACAAAATTCTTTTTTTCTTTTCTTTTCTTTTCTATTCTCATAATAGTAAATTTCCTATTTACCAAATGTATATAAACTATGGTTAATAAATTTGTAACTATCATTATTATGGTTTGATTTGATTATTTTAAATAAATTAAGTATTGGATAGATTGTTATAAATAAATCAATAATATATTTATAATTATCCAATGAATTTTGTCACTCAGTGTAAGCCACTTCTTCAGAGTAAATAAGTAAACAAATCAAAATTAATCTAAGTTTAAATAGTACAAAGGTTATTTATTTTTTGAAGAAGTTGCTTACAATGAGTCACGAAACTGGTTGGATAATTACAAATATATTATTTTTATTTATAAGATTAATAAAGTTATTATATCTCGATGTGAATAATGAATGATAACTTTTGGGATCCATTTATGGACTAATACTATACGTATATTATTATTGTATAACTGTTAATTAACTAAACTATTCATATTTGTGTTCCTCTTATTGAAAGCTTTATTTTGACCTATGAACTAATATTATGCGATTTACCATTCTTGTGTTCTGCCCAGTTAATTAATGAAAGTCTCACACATTCATACCTACTTTTGGTTAGATTTTATACAAATGTTGTTTTCTATTTTACCGTACGATGTGGTCTATTTGATTGGTATATAAACCCAGTATGTTTGAGATGAATGATTCATATCGTAGAGGCTGAGATTGGTGTTCTGGACTTAATAGTCAGGGCTAGGTGGGAAGCAAGACCGATAAGGACTCTAGACTGCTCGAATGGGTTTTATACGTCATTGTTCTGGTCGATAAATTACTGTTTTTTAATTAGCGGTATCATTACGTTCTAGATTAATAAGATACAGGGCCCAAGTTATAACAAAAGTTCCCTTCAGAATACATTATTTGTTGTTGTAAAAATCCATTTATTTACTCTATTTACATCATTTTAAATAACTTTTAAAGTACTGCAAAGTTAAATTCTTCAAGTGTATCATTATTTTGTATCTTTCGTATAAATACTTCTAATATTTCAAAGGTTTTAATATAATTGTGTATGAGCAGATTTTCCTAAGTTTAGTTTATTATTAATCATCTGAACAGAAAATAGATTACTGTAAGGTGCAAGGAACCCCCTTGAAATAGTAGATCCATTTCAAAAAGAGTGTTTTTCAATGCACACAGGATGCACATATGCCAACAAGAGACTGATCAATTGCAGTCTTAAATAACAATGGAAAGATACAAGTAAAACAACACCAAGTGGATTTAGCACCTCTTGATATTAAAAAAAAGTTTTTTTCCTTGAATTTTACTGAATTTCGATATAGCTTACTTCATGTGTTGATTATGCAGATTATATAATAGTCATGAGTTAATTCTGTTTTGACGGCTCTCGGTGAACTTAAGGACGTTCTAAGATGCTCCAAAAGAGCCAAAGACATTCCATCCAATCATCGTTTGGAAGAACAGTCTAGAATCTCGACATGTAGCTTCTCGGTTGAACAAGTGCTAAAAACTACTGGATGCTTTTAATAATGATTTTGTTTATACTAAAAACTATAAATATTCGAGTGTTTTGTACCACAGTGACTGGTTGGAATAAGATTTCTTTCCATCCGTCGTCTGTCTCTTAACTTGAGACTTGGAGGGTTCAAGCGTTCGAGTGCTCAAGTTGTACGCGGTAGAGCAAAAATTCAAGTTATAGGTATAGCAAATTCATTGTTCAGGAACTAACTAATATGACTGAAAAAAAGTTTTTAAATAAAAGGTTTTTCTGTGCCAACTTATGAAATCTAATCAAATAAACAATGATTATATATTCATTTTTGTATTGGTTGCTTGAATCTGCCCTCAAATTTCCCGGTACGGCTGAGGGTAGAGAGGGCTCTCTCTCCCTCTTGAAATGCTCTCACATGGCCACGAGTAAATAGCCTCTGCTAGAGAAGTCCTACTCACTGCCTTCTCGCGAAAGGAGTGTTGTTTACGGAATTGAGAGGACGTAAAGCGAATGTTCGGCGATTTAACCGAGTTGGTGGATACGGAAGATCCACCTAGAAGAGTTGGAAAACCCTAATTCCAAACCAATGGTGCATATAGGCTCCAGTATCCTGAAGGAACAAATGGCGTATGAACCAATTGTTGGTCACAGGCTAACATGGGACTGCATCTCCTAACGTTGCTCCACTGCCTTTTGGATTGGACTTTTAGGTCAAACTCTCCGGATGTGGCTCCCTAAGAAAACCACTTGTTTCGGTTTGGGCACCCGGGCAGCATCCCAGCCCTCATATAAATCGAATGATATATGTGGCGTATATGTGTCTGGTGCCCCCTTGTACCAGTATTTATGTGTTCAAACATATAAATAATAAATAAATGCTTGAATCTTCCCAATGATATTTTGGACTTATATTAATTGTGATTAAATGCAATATCAAAACAATCCTTACAGGATGCACATATGATCAATTGAAGTCCTAAACAATAATGAGAAGATTCAAGAAACCAATACAAAAATGAATTAGACTTCATCCCATTACACAAGCTAGTGGCTATTTAGACTCAGTAGCTAAATCGATAACGCAATGATGATTGAAGCAAACAGTACTGGATTTGAATCCTTGGGTAAACATTAGCTTTGGGATACAGTTATATCCAGCTGACGAGTACAAAATAAGACGGAATGCTCGTCCTGGATTCTACTACTAGCCAATATCTTTTCAGCTTATAATGATGGGATTTCTTCAACATCTGAATTTTTTCTAAGTATAATCTATCGATAAGTAAAATAAAGTTTTTCACCAATTATCATTTAGGTGGATGATTTCAGGATAAGATTTGGATGTTTTGATTGAAATAGTGATTTTTCTTCTAGTCAAGCATAAGTCTACTCTGTATACTATATTCTGTAACTATGATACATGATATTTCATTACAGTAAACAAAAGTAGATTGCCAGTATTTGATTATGGGTATATTTGAAGCATTTTTCACCTAAACTGAAATCATAGAATGAGTGATAATAAGTTGGGTTATATAGTACTAACTAGAGATAACTATTATTCGAATTATGCAAGAAGATTCATCAAATAGTGAAAGTAGTATAGAGTTGAACATTTTTCACAAGGAAACTATTCCCATTCTACATGATACACTATTGAATGGAAGACAAACAGTAGTAGACAAACTCCTATCACAATTCATTTCTAATTAGCTTTACTAATATAGATGTGAGTAAAAAAGTAAGTACATTAGAAGAATAGAAAGATCTGTATAAAGTTATCCTACTGAATATATGTCAGAGTCTTTATCCATATTTAGGCTTCGGTCGTGAAGAATATCTTCCCTTTTAATTTGTGTACTTCTTTGCTCTTTAACCCTTGTTAAGAATTTAATTCAGAATATGGTTTATTAGAACACTGTCAAAGTTTGAGAACGACTAGTTGATTTACAATTACAAAAGAGCTGAACTTTCAGTCACCTAGAAACTTAGATAACTATTTAGAAATTCCTACTAAGGTCAAACATAAATAATCCTTTTACAGAAAATCATATATTTTTCAATTTCATTTATTTCAGTTAAACTAATCTAATCGGATGGATTGGTAAACAATTAAAGTGGTCTTCAGTTGACCTGTGAAAGGTTTTTTCTAAGTTAAGCAATCATAAAATGACCACAGTTTGGACAGCAAGCAATCTACGCCGACAAGATGGACGTTACAACAGTCTATCGAGGAGTCTAGGATCTTTAATGTCAATTGTACTAGATGAGAATAAATCTCCATCAGTGTTGATTTTTTCTAATCAATCACCAAGAGAGACTAATTTACAAACAAGTGTCTCTGTTGGTGATCGAGTCGGAGATGAGAATATTTTGCCGTTAAATGGATTAAGTTTTCGTTCATTACAAACAGACTCTTCTTCATCGATTGCATTTGTTGGTAAAAAAATTAAACGTGAATATCAATCAGCGTTTGTATTGCCTGATAAACAAACAATTGGTATTATTCGTCAAGAAGCGTTTATGACTGAAGAAGGTTTAGCTCAAGTCACGCTTAGTTTATGCGTTTCGACTCATTTAGATAGTTTAAAAGTTGGTAAAAGTGAAAGAATATGTGATTATCTTGATACGGACTATTGGGCTTCCATTTTATTAGCTTCCACTGAATCTCATGATGCTGAACTACTAGGATATATGGGACCTGAATATACTTCAAGAAAACCGAATCGTTTTAACTTTGAACGTTCTGAAAGCCGACGACGTAAACGAGAAATTGTGCTTGTTCAAGAAGAGATTGAAGATAGTGATGACAAAGATAGTGTTGGGCAATTTGATGGTAGCAATATTTTGCCTGAAAGTGTTACAGTGTACGAAAAAGTATATCCTAAAGGAAAGGATGAATGTGATTCCCAGACACGTCGATTAATCCTGCATCCTCCACCACCCCTTCCACCTCCACAGCTGCCAGAATCACCGCTGCCTTCACCACCGAAAACTTTAAAAGTATCTGAAAGAAATATTTCACCAAAACCACAACTAACTTCAAGTAGAGATTCATGTCAGCCAAAAGAACAAGCTCCAATAATTGGACGGGCTGAACCACCTGGAAAAACTAAACCAATTGTAAGTAGTCCGAAATCTAAAGAAAATTTTGAAAAACTTAAACGTCAATGGAATAATCGTATTGCTCAAATGCAAGAACACTTAGATAATCAGTATCGCGATACACCAACATCACTACCACAAACTTATACAGAAGGACATCGTGGTTCTACGGTTACGTCAATTCTCCCTACAGTAGATAAAAGATCTTCTGATCCATATGTAAAAAGTCGAATTTCATCTACTGACCAAAGACTCTCCCCTGAACAAGAATATGATCACCAATCTCTTCCAGATAGAACTTCAATGGATCATGGTTCCAATAAAGAGAATTTTGTTTTTCACAGCTTTGATTATATCAATTCATCATCACCGGGTTCCGGTGATCTAGTGGACCCGGTTACGGAACGTTGTGAAAAAGAAGCACAATTTATTTATAGTCAAGCAAGACTATTTGTTAATCAACAAAATATAGGCAGATTAAGTCCACGAAAATTATCAGGTAAAAAAATTATTTTATTTATTATGTCATATTATTATTGTTTACTTAAGTGCTGATTGATTTATTGATTATATACTGCTTAACTAAAAAAAACTTACCATCGTAATGATAGGTAATTTCAATGATCGATGAATTAGTATCAGAAGAGGTTTTGTGGAGATTGTAGTAATTTCATTAGTTGGGATCATGAATCAATTGGAGCTAGACCATCATGGAAAACCTGAAAGCACTGTTTGGCGGCCGTTTCGTCCTACTGTGGGACTCCTCAGCAGTGTGTCCACGACCCCCCCAGTGGGGTTCGAGCTAAGGACCTATCAGTCTCGCGCGCAAGCGCTTAACCACTAGACTGATGAACTTTTTGTTCTCTATTTTTCTCTATGAAATGAGAGCTATTTTACACGAAACAGTTTCACTGAGTGTGAAACTACAACTTACGAATCAGTTGCAGATTTGTACACCGTGAAAAATCAGTTAAGTAAACTGAGTTTGATGGGATAAGCTTTAAGCAAAGCAGGAAATATTTGGAAACTGCACTGTTGAAGATTACAATTTAAACGATAAGATATGATTATGTAATTTAAATCAAATTATTGAGATGAGGGAAGTGTTATGATTCAGCTAATCAAATTGAACTAGGTGAAGTAGATTCCTAATATGTGGTCTATGCATCAGAAATTTCTTATCTGTAATATTTCAACAGTTTGTTAGAATGATTGTAATGAAAGAGTTTATTTAAAATTAAATTTATTTTTTCAGAAGTATCTAATAATTCATTTGGTATTATTTGCTTGTATCTTTCGATTGTTATTTAGGATTGAAATTGATCAGTCTCTTGTTGGCAGTATGTGCATCCCGTGTGGATTGCATCAATATTGCCTTGGGTCAAAAGCTTTATAAGCAAATATCGACAATAGCTAGCAGTGGAATCCATGACGTGCGTTTCGTCCTATTTGGGACTCGTCAGTCAGATGTATCTGCATTCCAGAGTTGATGTTCACTCAGGGACGTGATGGCTTTTGAAGCGAACGGTACTGGGTTTGAGTCCCAGAGTGAACATCAATTCTGTAATGCAGGTACATGCAGCTGAAGAGTCCCAAATAGGACGAAACGCGCGTCAATTTGGACTCCACTGCTAACCTCTATCCATCTTTAATTAGAAAGTATTTAATAATGTTTAACAAGTTTTCATATTAGTTGGAATATAATTATGATGTAATATCTGGTTTTCTATATGTTATATATATTATATAATTATCACATCTTAACTAATATTAAAACCTTCTCTGTAACACATCTGGATGACTTTAAAATTAACAACTTTAAGCGACAGGACAATCTGGTTAAAATGACTATTTTTCCATTGAAAACCTTCAATTAACCTTAAGTTTTAATTCCAGTGGAATTACTAAGGCCTCTGATATACCCAAGATTTTAATCCATGATCTCTGTAAATCAGTTTATTTAAATTTTTTAATATAGTTACAGAAAAGTCCTGATGTAAATATGTGATCAGTGTTGACGGAGTGTTTGATAATTAACTTGTTGTTTGATATGCATTCCAATTTTGATAGTAATATAGAGTGATTATTAGAAAACCTTGAAGCAGTGTGTAGGTCCTGGGTCCAAATCTCACGAGATGGGATCGTGAACATTCACTGCCTAGGAGTCCCACAATATGACGAAATGGTCATCTAGTGCTTTCAGGTTTTCTATGGTTATCTAGCTTCAATTGACTTATGATCTCAACTATTGAAATTACTACAATCTCCACAAAACCTATTCTATTATTCATTATGGTTTTATTTAAAACAGAAAGTATTCATGGATAATCTAGATATAAATATCTTGACACAATTTAAAATTCTTATATAAAGTATAAGTTTTCACCCTTTCATACAAATAATAGTTCACTCAAATGCTTATACTTCATTGGTTATTCAAGGTTATGGAATCCATCAAGGATGATGTTGAACTAGTAATCGATTGATACTTTCTATAATGAACTATTTTCTTTATAACCTCAAAGTAATACTTCTAATTGGTTAATATTTAAGAATGACCTTGATTACCATAACATTATTATTTATACCTGAAAGTTAAGTAACTAGTGTTTATTTTAAATATTTCCACCAAGTACATATCTGTTTATTTCTATTAATTAAAATGTTGATTCTCATTAGATTGTAATAAGTCACCATGACAATCTAATGTAGGTCTAAATTATAAATCTGTATTAAATGAATGAATATTTATTGATTACATTGTACTCAATTTACTGTAAAATTCCATATCATTTCTGATGTGATCATGTAATGTGGAAAGAAAAAACAACAACAACAACAATGTACTTTATTTGTATCTATCCGTTTCTGGAAGACAGTCAGTATTTAGTAAACATTTGTAGTTCTTTATATGTATATAGGGGCGACCAAACCAAAACCTGGCATCAATGCTTAAAATCACTAACTTCTAGTGTTATCCATGTTGATAGATGTAGACTACTTGGTTGAGATCCGTGTGACTATCGTAACAAATGGTTTGAGACTCTGGTTGACATGGCTCAGAATCTATCACAATGGCATAGGTGTATACACTTTCTGTCTTCGTTTAAACTATGAGATTAGAATTATTTCATATCTTTCTTTCTACAAACTAATTTTTTCTTCCTGTACTATGTCCTTATATGCCATCTTTCTTTTATATATTACCACCATTGAATTAACTACTTCTATGAATTCGATGATCATCTTAATGTACTAGTGAGATATGGCAACTTGGACCGGTGCATATATTTGCCTGGTCCTACGTTGTAGCTGACTTACTTAAATCCAGGGTAACAATTCGCGAAATGAATTTCCCTGTTAGTAACCCCTTAGTGGGTCAGTTGTAAACTGATTATTCAAGCGAATAAATACATATAAATGTATGAAGCGATGACGAAACAGTATTCTTGGGAATATGACCAAATTATATCATTGACATTGTCATCATAATTCCTCTGAATAAACGGTTAATCCTTATCTTTATTTGTCTATATAACATGACTTACCTTTAATAATTATTGTGTGCTTTTAGCGGTGGAAAGACTGATTTCATATTTAATGGTGTTTGCTTCATAACTGTTGGAGATACATTTCTTATAAGCATGAGACTTAATTTAGGTATTATCTAATATTTATCACCCTTAAACTGTTCATTCCTTCATACTTCATTATCGTATCAGCTCATCTAGTTGGTCAGTCACATGGAAAATCTAATCGATAAGATTTTGTAAGTTTTTTCAACCGGGTCTGTTGTGAGATAGTAACTCACTGAAGGTCTTGGGTTCGAATCTCGCGAGGTGGGATCGTGGGTGCGTGCTGCTGAGGAGTCCCGCAATAGGTCGAAACGGCCGTCAAACAGTGCTTCCAGGTTTCTAGGTCTAGCTTCAATTAACTTATGATCTCAACCATTTAATTTCTTCAAATGTATTGAATATTGTATGTATGAAATTGTTTCTAAATTTCTCATCGGTATCACAAAATTGATAAACTGGAAATTGCTTTCCTTAAACTCAATCATTCTGTGAATTCGGACTCACTTATACTTGTCTGGAAAAAATTTGATAAAGTATCACATTTTGTACAAAAATTTCACACAAATTGTATAGTTATAGTCAATAGAATCTAAGGTGATATAATTCCCACGATACATTTTAAACTTTAGACATTCGGTAATCTTTAATATAACGGTAGTCAGAACCCTTATGAATGAATACAAATTTTGATGGAGGTTGTTTTCTTTATTGATTGGCTTATGGTTAACACATTTGTTTGTATATATTGTTTATTGTCTTACCAAGATTAAATCAGTTTTGTATACATAATACAGATATTCTCACTTAGTGTTAGTTTTTCATCAGAACTCATATTGTAAAAACGATTTGTATGGATAGTATTATTTTCGGAGCTATTGTCTTATTGATAATTCACATCGGATAATTTAAAACACAAGTCCATGGTTCTCTGCTGATTGCTACCAATCACCTGACCATGATTTCCAGTTGGTCTTATTAGTTACTTCATTGTAACCTGATTGATAGTATCTAGTCACCTCCAAATAATAAGCAAATATGATGTATCAGTTTCATTGAAGATCATTCTTGTCCCAAGCCCCTCACTGTTATTACTTCTAATTACGATATAAATTGATCTGTGTTACAATTACCTGGACATCATGAAAATTGTAGATACGCCTTGATGATGTGTACTAATAAAAGTGAAACAAATGTGAGTCTTTTAGCTAATTTTCTCCAACCATCTAACACAAATCACATGACTACATTAGAAATCACCAATTGATTGTTACTTGAAGGATTCGGATAAAGCCACTGATGGAATCTCATGTTACATGTATCCTTGTAAGTTATGAACTAATCAATGTTCATTCATTTGATACTCTCTTCAATTTTCACATTTGTTTCTATGTTCATTTTTGTTTGAAGTAAGTTCAAGACTCATATTCAAGAAACACCGCACACAACACATACACATATTAATACAAACACCAGATATAAGTGATAGACACTATTGAGTAAAAACTAGATCAATCTATTTTTCATTTTAGAAAAAAAAAAACAACTTCTATTGTCATTTACCAAATTAGCATATTGATTCGAAGAAATGAATGCTGAATTTATAAATGTGTGCGTTTCTATGTATACACTTCTGTTATGTGTTACATCATAAAGATGGAACCAAGATTTAAAAAAAAAAGTAGAGTGATACATCTCACTGATCATCATATCATTCATTTTGACATTGTATTAATGAAATATTTTGGCACACATGAAATATAACTGTTACTTATTTTCAAAATTATGATAAAACTTATATTCACTTGGTATTGTTTACTTGTATCTTCGCATTGTTATTTAGAACTGCAATTGATCAGCCTCTTGTTGACATATGCACATCCTGTGCGGACTGCTTCGATATTGCCTGAAGTCACAAACTTTATAA